ATAAATAAATAAATAAATAGTGTATTTGTGCAGGGAAATAATGCACTACAGTTTCCCTAGCTACTAACTGATGTTTCCAGAACTAACAGAGAAATGTTATAATTTCTGCAATGATGGCACAGATTTCATAAATCTCTTTATATCTTAAGATGTGTAAAATAAGGTTGGTTTTGGGTTTGATTGTTATGTTGCTTAGATTTCTTCAACAGAGACTGTGAAGTTAGATTTTACTCAGGAAACGTGCCTTCAACCTGACACAAGGGCCTCCTTTATAAATATATTTAAACAACAAAAACAAAAGTATTGGCCTCAGAGATGCACCCTTTCTGCCGTTATACCAGTAATATCTAAGAAAATTCTACAGGAAGGAACATATTAGACATCTCCAGGGATGTGGCAATAAAACAAGTGGGCAGATATAAAATGCACTTGATGTTTATGAGGCAGCAATAATTTGAAAATAACTCAATTGGCAAAGAATGTGAAGTGGCCACTCTCTCCGGACCTTCCATTTTACAGCTATTTCTCCCGTTCCTCAAAGTTCACATAGTTCAAGCCACAAACTGAAAATAAATTGTTAAAGTAGATCAGCACTCATGTAGATTATCGCTTGGTTGTGTGTGAGGGTATGTGTTTTTCACTACAGGTACAGAAAAGGCCTACTATAGTCCCTAGCTGCTACCTTCAAATTCCACTTTTGTCTGTGTCCCACTTGTAGCCCACTCTACCTTAGGTAGAGATTATTCAGACTTGCAGAGAGCTTTTTCAGATTGGCTTTTCCAGGTAGAGAGTACTCAGATGTGGTTGCCTACAATACATTAAACACTTCTTCCCTATACAGTTATAGCTTTTTATGAAGGTTAATACAGGATCTAGTGTTCACAATATATTATATTACAATTCTTATACAGTACCTATATTTCTTTTTTATGGCCAATGTGATCCCCTACTTAGTGGCTTCACTTTGAAATTAGGGTGGCAGAAAAAAATGTGCTTGCCTTCCAAAAAAGAGCACACTGTACAGTGACTTCAAATAAAAAGGGGCCCTTCTATAATGACTGGAGAGGTGCAAATCCTATCCATTTAATCCTTGCATGCAAGGAGAAGGGACAGCAATATTATTCTCCTCACCTCAAAAAAGGGTGAGGTATTCTGTGGTGAATGAATTTTATCAGTGCAGGTGATGTAAAAGTGCACAAATCCTACAAATAATGTAAACTGCCTAAAATAAGGATGGTTATAGCTCTGCTATGTAGATTTTTTAAGAAGCTGAAGCATTCAACAGGTTGTTTGCATCTTTTAAAACAATCTGCCAGTCATTCTGTGCTTGGTATGAGTGCCTGGGCTTTGCTTTTCAAAGGAAAATAATACCAACATTGTGCATACAGTTTGCACAAAGTACACAAAGACCCTGACAAGAAAACATGGCACTTCTTGTCTTAGCTTTGTTTGGAGATGATGAATCTGGCGGGGCTTGAAAATTTGTCATTCGGGTCTCTTTTCAAATTCAGATGGACTAAATCAGTAAGAGCAACAAATGTTGTGGATATTGTGTTATCGAAGGCTTTCATGGCCAGAATCCAATGTTTGTTGTACAACCATTTGTGGATATTCTTCATGTTGCTAGTGTAATGGCAGCATGCAGGCTACAGAGGCTGGGGAGATTCTGTTGCAGAGTTTTGAATTTTTTGTTAAATTCCTCTAGACATACAGCAGAAGTGCAGGGATTCACAGAGCAAAATAGGCACAGAGTCCACCTCTTTTTTTCAAAAACTGGCACTTATAGTCTCACAAACTTGCTCTGAGACATTAGTAGTAGAAAGAACAAAAAATGTTCCATTTACTTAAAGAGAACAGCAAACTAGCAATATGAGTGCCTTGCAGCAATGACCTCAAAAGATTCACTACTTTCAACATACAAAGAAGAGGGAGATAGAGCCAGACCAGAGAGGTAGGGCCCTCTTTGGATACAGAGGCAAAGGGTTAGTGCTTGATAGATTGACAGTCACCCCCACCAAGAAAGGTCCCTCCCAGCCAAATCTATTAAAGCCTGTGTGCGAGATTGCAAAAATTCCAACAAATCCAGCACAGCTTTCCATTCCAGAAGATTGCTTACCACTGATTAAAAGGAAATTGTTGATTTGTCCATGTTTCTTTTCCTGCATTTTCTCACAGGTGTGCTTTATAAAAGGGCTACACATTTACCTGGTTATAATATTTTACCACTTAGCCTCATCATCTCCAGCAATGGCTGAAGTGAGAGTAAAAATAGAAGTAGGGAAAAGGCCTTTGCAGCGATGGGGAAATTTACCTTTTTGAGATCTATGAGAAGCAACATTTCCCATTTTGGGGCAAAGTGTCGATTTTGTCCACGTGAAAAAAGGAGTGTGACTGTGGGTCTGCCCATAATATACTAGGGTGGCATCCAACCCCATTTGGATCACTAAACTCTGGTGTATATTCCAAAGACATATTTTAAAGCTGCCTTGTGCCATTCTTTCTGTTTAGCCCTGAAAGCATGCATTGCTTACATTCTTGGTGTGTTCTTCAAGATGAGATGAATAGGCCAAATATAGAAGAATTGCTGCTGATGAAATTTACAAAATATTTCAGATAATGACAGCTCATGGACATGACAGCTCTTGAATAATTCTATCCAAAGCAAAGGTCATGCACATAGGTCACTGAAGTTTGCACTAGCCTAATGCTATTCCAGCTCAAAACATTCTTGAAAAATCACTGAGTGGGAATAACTGCCAGCTTGCCGAAAGGTTCTCCTCCTGGCAGGCACCCAATGCCCAGTCAAGAATGTAGTCATCATGAGGAATTCTCAAACTGTATATAACACCAAGAGGAGGAAAAAAAACACATGGAGGGCTAAAGGCCACCATTTACAATCAATTAGTTCCTGGCTTCATGCACAGCCCAAGCACAGCTTACATTATCTGGGTGGAAAAATATTCAGCAATTCAACACTTGCAATCAAGATGAGGGAATGGATTGTGAGAAGGACCATAAATTCCCTTCTTCGCTCTGTTTGCATATATGCAAAAGAATGTTGGCCAAACTGCTTTCTTCAGGAGGAAAACAGATTTCTCCACAGCAAAAGTTATTTGTTGGCTGGTGAGAAGCGAGTTTTCAAGAAGTTGTGCTCCGTTGTGCTTTCAGATAGGAACTGCTTAAAAGACAGAAAGGAGAGAGATTGGTAAAGGTTAGGAATGAGTGAGAATTTCAGCTCAGCTTCCCCCACGACCACCACCACAATGAATTATATTTCACAAGCGTTGAATCAACAAGAGTGTGAAATCGACAGCGTTGATCATCCCAAGTGTAGATGTTGGTCAGAATTGGTTATGGCTTAGCTGGAGTCTTCCTTGTTCTACTACAGAACAAAAGCACTTATTTGATCAATTTAAGAAGATCAGGTTATTTATTTATTTTACTTAACCTTTTCACAGTACTTACATCCTGTAGAACTAATAAGCACGAGACAGTCAATGCCATCTGATATGACCAAAAAGGCCCCTCTTTTGTTCACCTACAAACTCAGTAAGCAGGAGAATGTAGAGAACAGCTTCCTGGGAGAATCCCAGCGCAAGGGCAGGTCTCCTCATATGCAGTGCTGACACTATTATATTTACCCATGTGTTGTTAGAATTAAAAGTCCAATGTGTGAAATTTCTGTGCCATTGTGAACTTTCTATGTGTATCTAAATTTTTATCTATGTGCATCACCAAAGTTCATCCTTTTCAGATGGGCTGTTATCACACTATGAGCTTTGTTTACAACAGTAGATTGATTTCCAATAACAATAGTTTCCACCATAGAAGACACTGAGCACATAATCACATGAAACTGGATAAGGATGGGAGGACATCCTGCCCCAGTCCTACATGCTGCACCTCACAATCCTCTATCTTAAAAATGCATCACATAAGTTCAGCAAGTGGCTACACACACAACAAAACATTATCTTTTCTCCACCCTTGTCCAGGCTTCTCAGCACTAAGCTAATACTTCTGTTTACTAACATGAGATAACTTTTTAATGTCCGATACTGAAGAGGAGATGTCAGCCAGATGTTAATTAGCTGGAGAACAAATGCCTGTGAACCCACAAGCAAGAAATATTGAGCAAGGCATTAACACAAATCAACAAGAATCTTTCTTCATGTGTGACTGGGTTAGTCTAGGGCTTCAGATCCACATTTTGAAACTGAATGGTAGCTTTGGCAAAATGTAAGCAGAAGTTTAAAGCAAAACCATTCCCATATTTGCATTGCAAATGAGACATTTTTCATTTCCTCAAGTAAGGGTAGGGGTAATGAGTAACCAGCATCTGAATATGTGCCATAGTGGCAGAGAAAATCCGCTTCTTCAGGCCAGTTTGCAGACTGCACAGAGATGGAAAATATAAAATGACTTCATAATCAGTCTTGACATTAATTACAAAAAAAATTACAGAAATTAGGACTTCTTATAAATTCAAGAAGTAGAAATGATAGGTTACAAGGGGACAGGAGCTAATCACATTCAGAAACAAGTGCATTTATGGATGATGGGGTTACATGTTGCAGGTTGGGTTTTTTGAAAAAAAATGTGGGTCTAAAACAGAGATTTGACTAGTTGAAAACTCAAGTGTTGAAATGCCAGCCTCTATTCCATTAACCAGAAGTTAATGAGCTACTGTGTATGTCTTCGTTCTTACAAGACCATCAAATAATCTTTATTTCTTCTTATGGATTTTTCTCCTTTCAGCCTGTTCAGTTGACAACAGAAACTTTATCAGGCACATGTATCCACACAATTTGTTTTGTACCTGTGACATTCCACTGATTATAATATTGCATTGCCAGAAAAAACAAAAGGAGCACTCGGCTAGGGTCCAGGCAAAAAGTTATGGTTGGATTAGCATCTGGGGGAAATTACCTATTCAATATAAATATAGACCTATCTGTAATTTAAACTTATTTAAAGGCAGCCTGTAAGAGTATACCTTTTATCTAGACAACTAACTGTGTATTATTGTCTTGCAGATTCATTGGCCGAGTACAACTGTGCAAGTGGAAGAATGTACAATCAAAGGACGATATGCTGTATGTATTCGCTAGCAAATGTCTTTATTTTTCCTTCACTTTGGCAAGAGAGTGTTCCTGAGGGTGAAGAGAATGTTCTTCCATCATCTCTGGAAAGAGACTTGCAAAATCATTTGGCAATGAAGAACTCAACCAGAACCATGAAGGGGCAAAAATCACACTTTTTTTTTTTTAAAAAAAAAGGCTGGCTGGATAGTTCAGTGGTTTAGTCATCTGGCTGCAGAGCCAGAGGCTAAAAATCTGATTCCCTAATGTGCCTCCTGAGAGAGCTATTCAGTTGACCTTGGGCAAGCTGCACAGTTACAAGGTGCCCCCAGAAGAAGGGAATGTTAAACCACTTCTGAATATTCTCTACCTTGAAAACTCTGAGAAACCTCACCATAAGTCAGAAGTGGCTTGACAGTACATGATGATGATGTTTAAAAAGAAAGTATCATCATC